ACGCCGGCTTTGGAGGGGGGGGGATTGGCTCAAAGCTGTGGGGAGGAGGTGGGACGCTTAAATCCCACAAGCTCAGGTTGTGCCAGGGCAGGTTTACATTGGATATTAGGACAAATTTCTTCACCGAAAGGGTTGTCAAGCATTGGAACAGGCTGCCCGGGGAAGTGGTTGAGTCGCCACCCCTGGAGGTGTTTAAAAGACGTGTAGATGTGGTGCTTAGGGAGGTGGATTAGTGGTGGGCTTGGCAGTGTTATCTTAACGGTTGGACTTGATGATCTTAAAGGTCTTTTCCAACCGAAACGATTCTACGATTCTGTGAAACCGTCCAAACCCCACGGAGAGAGAACAAGCTCTCGTCACCGCATAGCACACGCCAGCCCTGAGGCTCCTCCATACTGCCTTGACACCCTCTCCCTCTGTACCTGGTACCTGAGGGCCCCGCTCTGTTTGCTCTCCACCTAGCGCTGTTAGTTTTTGTTTTTAACTGATGCATTTTGGGAACTGTTTAGAGAAAGAAGTATTTCACGTCAGTGCCAGGAGAGGAGGCGTCGGGAGCGCTTGCAGGCAGAATGACTGACCCATGCAGCTTTAGAGAGCACCTCGAGATGGCAGCTGCTGATCGTGTCTGTGGGCCTGGCAGGTAACAGTCTCCCTCTTCACACCTCCCCAGATTAATTCCAACGACCTTTGTTAGCGAAGTGTCTGGCACACCCCGTGTGTCTTTTTGGCCGAGTCCTTGTTCGCCTGACATTGCTCCACGTGTGCCAGAAGGCCATTCGTAAGAGGAGAGCAGTCTGGAGGGCAGGAGAGCAGGCAGCCAGAGGCTGAGAGAAACAGGGGAGCGACAGACAGAAGAGAAGACGGATGTGAAGAAATAAAGTTGTCCTGACAGCTGCAGTGTCAATCTGCAACGTACCAGTCTCATGGCTGTCTCATGCACATTAAATACGTGAGACAAAAGAACCAGCGTGCTTAGAGGCCAAATCTCACACCCTTAACTTACCGGAAAATTGGACCTTATTTTGTAAAAAAGTAAATTAGCTGCTGTATTCTAAAAAGAAAGTTGTTGCTTATGCAATGAATGTAGAAGCTAAAACTCTGCTTGAAAAATGCCATTTTCTCGCAAGTTTTTGGGAAAAGCAACCCAGAGTCTCTGTGAATTCATGTTTTGTGGATAAATCTCATCCTGGAACTCGGTCAGGCTGCTCTGCTGAGACCGCTCTGATAAAGGCCCACAATGACTGCTTCCCTCTGGAAGTTTCAGTTCAATAACTCCTCCCATTGTACTGATTTTATCTACAGTATTTTAGCCAGTGAAACAGAACAGACTTCTTGGATCATTTAAAGCATTGGACTATGGTTTCTTTAACCCACATTTTCTGAAGAGGAAACATAAATCTTGACAATCTGGAAGGTGTTGGTAGACCAGTTTTATCCACTGAGGCCTTTCATTTTTTAATTGCGATGGGCCAGGCTGCCTTTCATTCCAAATAAACTGCTGAGCTCCTTTATGGTAACAAATAGCTGGAACATTGCCGTTCGTCAGTCCGAACGCGTCACCACCCAATTCAAAGCCAAGTGAAAGGGTGCAGAGCTGAAGAGTCGTGTTGTTTACGGAAATCTGTGTGTCTGTGCAGGGTAAGCAGAAAACGGCAAGAGAGGTGACAAAGAGTGGAGAGCAGAGGGAGATACCAAACACATCCTGAACAAGTTCTCAAAACTTGTTCGCTGAAAAAGCCTTTTTTTAATTGCTTTTGAGAATATATCACAGAACATGCATGCATTTCAGGCAATTAAAATTGTGTTTTTATCACACTTTTAGGGTAGTATTCAGTTGCCTAAGCGCAGGCATCTTGATCCATGTGAGAGAGCCCTAAGGTGCCTGAGATATCCACATGGTCCTGTGTGATCCACCATACAGTCCTGTGCAAAATCCACAGCTGGAGGCCACAGGAGATAGACAGTTACCTAAAATGGAGCTGCTACCTACGTGTAGGCATCTGGATTCCACTCCCAGCCACAAATACTTCCTTAAACAGTTATTCTCACTATTTTTAAGGAAGCTGAAACCCTAGCTAGGTCATCTGCAAGTCCTTTCTTATAAATACTAAAACCTGCTAACATTTTCAATATTTAGAGTCACAGACTACATCTGTGTGATCGTTGAACAACTGCCATTCACAAACTGAAGCGTGTTTGGTTTGTCATAGCTAAGCCCAAGCCTCTTGCATCATCCGGTGTTCCCTGACCTGAATTTGTACAACTTAATTCTTCTTCCTCACTGTAGCGCTTTTCACCTGTCTTAATTTGACATTGTCTTGTTGATTTCAGGCCATTTCTCCAATTTGTCAAATGTATTTTAAATTTTAATCACATCAAATGTCTCCTAGTCATCTTCCTAGCATATATTTCCTCTTCATTTTCTCCCGCAGGCCTTTCTCCGCAAAGGATTCTTCTGTAAATGCAGGCACATGCACAAATAAACTGTCTCTTCCAATTGAAGGAGAAGGCCTACAGGGATGAATGTGCCAGGGTGAGAGTATATCTTTCCAGGTAAGTAATTGAGATTTTCACAAACTAATCTCATTCTGCATCTGAGGAGTGCACGCTCAGAAGCCCTGCCAGGACGCTACGAGAGATCACATACAGGAACTGTCCGTGGGTTCCCCAAGCGTTCACTGTAACAATATAATATTCTGCAAAGCCCCTCACCAAAATTCAGCGGTTCTGCCGCTCGTGTTCCCCAGAAGACCCTTTGCTGTCCTCCTGGGAGCGGAGGCATCTAAACCAACTTGGCTTGGCTTTCCTTGTGGATGTCTCCATCCTGTCCGTTTTCTCCTAGTCTGTGATGCTCCCCGAGACTGCGCCCTGCCGATGGACCGGTCATCAGACACCGATCCCCGAGGGGACGAGGACCGGCGGTGACACGGGGGCCGAGCCCCGGCCCTGACCGGGCTGGCAGGTGGCACCCCCAGAGCAGGGACGGGA